GATCATTTAGTCTAAGTGACATGATGCACTGATAATCAATACAATTTAATGTTTGTTTCATTGTACAGTAAGGCGTAGTAGTTAACTTGACCGTGTGCATTGTTTCCCTTTTTAACGATAGATTCTTTCTTATTGAAATATTTATTTCTAGTTTGTTCACTGGTTTCATGTCAGTTAGAGAACCATTGAAAATAAGTACTGATGATATTGGACAGTGCTATTTCGTCCTTGTGTGGGACTCTTCATAAGTAAGCGCCCATCTAACTCACCTTTAAGGGATCGAAAGTAGGACTTTCCGGTTACAAGGCGGACTCGTTGATCATTATTAGATAGGCCTTATGATTAAATGTTTTATATTAGGTATTCATTTAGAATATTGACTGTAGTCAATGAGTCATACTTATCGTATATTGTGATGATTCACTTAACTAACAGCTTAGAAATGACTATATCATGTAAAGCGTAATTATTTTTATTAACATTGGGTACTTGGTAAGGTGAGTGGTGCTTGTCTTGGTAGTGGGGTGGGGGTGGATTTGGGGGTAACTTTTTAAAGGGAAGAAGAAGTTGGGAAAAATAAATGTCTATAACATGAGTGTGTTTTTCAACAAACAGAAACACTTGTAGCTTGTATATAATCATTTCCCATGAGATACAATGCAATTTAAAAGCATCACGTATATGAAATAATGGAAGACGTTGTTATCAGATTCAAGGTTATTCATCGTGTGTTATGGCGTTCACCAAGTTCTTCTTTTGGTAGTCATTAGTTTATGATTAAAAATAAGTGGGTTTTTTCGATGTTTTTCATGTTTTTTCATCATTTTCTTTCCCATGGGGAAAGTATAGTGCATTTACACACCCGTACTGCCTGTAACAATGAAAATAAGGATCAACCAATAGGAATCGAGCTAGCCAGTCTAGCGTGAAGACATATGAAATCTGACTGTGGTCATTCGAGGAAGTAGTGAAGTAAAACAAAGAGAGAAAAGCAGTCTTAATTAATTCATATATCCAGAGTTAAGATGATTACCTGAGATACTCTAGGGTTGCACGATGATTGAAGATTAAAGTAAAAATATCGGTCACTGCAGGATTCTAAACAATGGCCTCCAGACCTACCAGTCCAGTTCCTATGAGCTGAACTAAGGAGAATCACATGTTATTCATTCATATGACAGCTGAGCATGAACCATGATAATAATGATTGATTGAATCAGCATTTGAATTTCACTGCTCAACCTGTGGGGTACAGGGGTGACTAGTAGTCCAAAAAGCTCTGGCTTCATTTCATATTCAGCCACCCATTATTACAAAAGTAATTACTATTTAGGATGTTTTTGTAGATAATTGCACGAAATGGGATTCGGACTTGGACCACTCTCTTCACTTTTTCCGGCCAGGGCAGTTTTGTGGTATCATCAGCTGTCATAGATTAAATATGGTCCACCAACTTTCACGTGAAAACGTTGTCCTACGTAGATGAACTCTGACTAACTTTACTCCATCTAGATAACGAAAGTTGTAACCAGAAAGGAAGTGTAAATCTTATCGTAGGGAGAAATACTCTTCAACTGGTCAACAGTTGATAATAGACTAAAAGACTTACTTAAAACAATTAGTCCCTTTTATAAATTTTGATAGTGTTATTAGAAGACGGAGACTATCTGAAAAATGTGATGTATTAGCGCTATACATTTCGAACAATCTGATCACACATTTACTTGTCAAGTCAATATATATAGAAAGGTTAAATTAAACAAAGTGAGAGAAAACGGAATTAAGAATAATTAACACAAACGTTTAGTAATCCAATCAAATAAGGATTACCAAGGTAGGTAAAGAGTAATGACAAACTGTTTTTGAATACACAAGGGGGGCTTAAGTCTATGAATAGCTATAGCCTCAGCGTATTTCAGTAAACGCCCTTGACCGTTTTTATAGATGACCTTAAAAGACTTACAAAAGTATGGATACTCAATGGACTTTTAGTTAAACTAAGCGAGGATTAAGAAAGGATAGATGATCAATACGAAAATAAGCACAAATGACCTTGAAGTAGTTAATCCGAATTCGCCCTGGGTAATAATTCTGTTAAATAACGGAGATGTTGAGTTTATTCTTCCAGTTGAATACCGTTCAAGATTTCGTGGAATAGATTTAATCTAGGGAAAGTGTACAAAATCAAATTCTAATCCTAATTCTTTTGCTCAAATTCTGTCTTGTTACTGGGATTTATTCTCACAATATGTTAAAGTAGGGAAATGTGTATTCGAAACCTCATAAACAGACATACGGTTGCTTTCAATGGAACATTAATGAAAAGAGTATCAACATCTAGGGAGAGTATTCTTTTTTTGTCTGCCAAACTGACATTCTTGACTGAATAAAAAAAAATCGAAGATTGTGTTTCGCCAGCTTCTCTCCTACTCTAGTCCAAGAATCTTGTTCAGCCATTTTGCGACTGAATAATATTGATATAGAAAACTGGTTTGAATGGAATACCTTATCTGTGTGTACCTTAGGTTAAAATATCAATCTGGTTGACGTAGAAGCATGGTCCCTCTCTAAACATCATTTCTCTACTCACTTGGAAATGATTTTTGCTCACGTGTGTACTCGAAATTTTAATTAAATCGTTTCCTTTACTCTGATTGGCCACTTCAAGGCCATTCGATCGATCTCTGCCTCTTGGTTCACATTGTACTTTAAGCGTCTTCATTGCTGGACGAGTAGAAGATAGTAGTGTGCGTGTATATATATATATATATATATATATATATATATATATATATATGCCGAGATTTATGTGTAAGCTTCACTATATTATACAATATTGATCCAAAAACATTAGAACTGGTTGACAGTTTATGTGCACATGGAAAGTTTTCTATTTCCTTATCTTGCCGACGTAAAATACCAACTGTCTCTCCAGAATATTATGTCGGTTGAATCTGCATTTCAACTTCTTCGTTTTTGTGAAATAAATACGCATAAAAGGTAATTAATCAATATTTAGTCACATTTGAATTCAGTCGAATTCTGTCGTCTGTGTGTATGTAAAAACATATTTATTCGCGGATTACATTCGACTTTGATAATTGCTTAAACAGAACAGTAATTTCCAACTTAAATTTAGTGTTTTTCTTCGTCACCTTTTAACTACTGAATTATTACTTAAATGCGGATGACAAAAATAATTTATTATTGAACGCAGGATTTTATTTATTCATAGGAAATATGTGATTTTTGATGGTTAGGTTTAATAGTCTACCTAGACAACTTCTTCAGACCTCCAACTTCAATATGAAGTGCACTTTTAGGATGAACCGACAATGGAACAACCACTTTTTTCCGATTGGCCTTGGACGTGATTAGTTATCTTCAGTGTCATTCTTACTCTGTTATTTACTTGCTTTGGTATTGGCTATTTTTTAATGGCTTCATATTTAACCCTTGGGTGATGATGGTAAAGCTAGTGAAGTAAAAGCAATCGTGAGGTGTTGTCGTGCATAGTATAGCATCAGCCGCCATAATAGGATGATCCATCTATCTGTCTAGGAAACAAAAAATCGATAAAATATCTTTAAAAACCAGCCGAATGTAATATCTGGTATTGTAATTACAGCATTCCTTTAAACACCTAATACAAAATTACGTAAGACTAACTAACTATCAGAAGAAATTTAAATTGTAGTTTACTGCCTCCGTTCTTACACATATTAAAGTAGGCGGAAACGAAAGCGTGGTAACATTTGGTTTCGATAAATTATACAGTCAATCGATGTAGGGTAGCACTTGGGTGAGTGTAGAATCATAGCAACACAAAGTTACCTCTCTTTTTTTGCAGCCTACTTCAATGGATAGAATAGAAGGTCTCATTTATGGAATTTCTCAGGTGGTTAATCTTATGTAAGGTATTTTTTTCCTTCGCGTTCCCAGTGGAACATAGGGCCTCAAGCTAAGGCTTGAAGTTTCTGTAGCAGTGTTTGTTTTACAGGATGGGGTTGCTAGCCTCATGTCCAACCTTTCTCTTTACCAGGATTATTTCTTGCTTAGCGAGGTAAGGGAGTGCGTCTGTGGTCAGGGATCGAACCCCGGACCATGTGCATGGACGGCGAGCGTCCTAACCGCTGTCCCACCGACGCACTATGTAAGGTATACTGCAGTCCAAATCAGATGTTATGTTCGGTGGGTTTTAAAGGTGTTTTATTGGTGTTTCTACACAGCTAGAATATGTATTGTGGCGTTTGCTGTGCTCGTAAAAGTCCAACGTTAGCTTTTATCCTCACATTTATACTCCCTAATTAGGCAGTTTGAACTAGAGCTATTGGGATACAAGTAAAAACAAAGCGTAAAACCATGAAAAGGTGATTTCATATGTGTTTAACTTTAAGGCCTGCTAGTTAGATGTGACTACGGTGCAACATTTACTGCTACCGGCGATCTAGAACTCTGAAGCCGTCCAAACTAATACCTCTTAGAATCTCTCTTCGATTCATAATTTAATGTAAGATATCTAAATAAAATATGTTACTTATATCATTATGGGAAAATAGCAACAAATAAGACGCTACAATGAATGTTGTTGCTAAAATAACCGATAAACCCCCTTCGTAACCTTTTTGACCATCACTACCTTTTCGTTGGTTGGTAAATTTTTCTAAATCAATGTGTCTGATGATTTGCTGGTATCTTCTGAGCGTCAGGCTTCTAAGGATTCCTTGATATGGATTTTATCAGACAACAAAAATGTAGACTGTTGAAATGTTAATGTGGGCTATGCTATGCATTATTGGTTCACTGGAAGAATAGTCGCCATGTAATTCGGGCTTCGATTCTTGATTGACATACTCTTAAATCCTGCAATGTGGAAAGGTTGGATTTGAGGCTAGCAATCCCGACCCCATACAAAAAACCGTATGAAAACAGGTTTCAATAAAGTTTCTTTAGTTATCTGTCTACTTTTTCTTTTCTTGTATTTTTCCTATTCCTAACAGGATGGTGTACTGATATTGGATGCTCCAGTGAAAGCGCCTGACTATAAAACAATTACATTTCAAGATGATCGTCAGCTAGGCATTCGACCAAAGGCTGAATCAGAGGTTAAAGCTACACTGAATAGCAGTAGTAAGACACCTGTTTGTTTAACTGTTACTGGTAAGTCTTTTCATCATTGAAAAAAATAAAACTTTGCATGGTTAATTATTTGATTCTGTGACTATTGTGTACCAGGATAGTTTCTAATATTTCGTTAATTGATGTCTGTTTCGTAATATAGAGAGCACTCTGGAACAGACTAACCCCATCGATCGATAGATAGCTGCTAACTTGATGTGGTTTTCAGGCTTGCATATCTCAATGACTCAAAAAGCTCCATTAACTGGAACGAGTGTACTTGCTGGTGCAACCATTTATCAGAAAAGTCATTTGGGTAGCGCTTAGACTACAAGTAATTACCATCATGATGTATGCTATGTTCAAAGTTTAAAGGTGAATTCGTATTGCTGGCAAACAGGGATGTCACAGCATTAAGGTATTCTTCCTCCGGATGGTTGCCTCTCCACACTGTAGAGGGTAGAGTGTGAATAAAGTTCGACACAGAAAATTATATATCTCGACTTACCCTGCGGCGATGTGTAGTTGGTGGTTGGATCTTTATTATGGACACAACTCCACAAACTAACTCAAGCAAACCTTTTATGACTGGTCTCAAACCGATGTCCTCTGACCAATGGAGTCATGCAACACTAATACACTAAAACAGTTTTTATTGGTGTGGGCAGTCAGGAAGGAAGTAATCGTCCACCTACACACAAACAAACACTGCCGTAAGCAAACAAACGTTTCCTGTAGATTTTAATCGTAAATTATGAAGTAATCAATGTCACAAGAAGGTCCCTACATCCAACAAACACACTGACTGTGCTAATGAGAGATTTTAATGAAGAATAGGGACAAAATACTGAGAGGAGGAAGAGGGAGATCAAACTCTTTTTTGTCCTATTCTCTTCGTATTCTTCAATAATCTTCATACACAACCACTAACATTCTGAAGCCCTAATAATTTGTCTGCATCGCTGTAAGTCGGCGACCATACCACGTTGAGAGCACCGTTTCTCGTCCGACCACCTAAGTTAAGCAACTTTGGGCCCAGTTAGTACTTGCATGAGTGACCGGCTGGGAATACCGGGAGTTACCGGCTTCTTTAGCGTCGGTGGCACAGAGGTTAGGACGCTCACCGACCATGCACATGGTCCGGGGTTCGATCCCTGGCCACAGACGCACTCCTTTACCTCGTTAAGCCAGAAATAATCCTGGTAAAGAGGAAAGGTTGGACATGAGGCTAGCAACCCCATCCTGTAAAAATAAACACTGCCTGCTGTCTGGTAAAGTTAGCGTAAATGGTATTTCACAATTAGTTTGATTCGGTGATTGAATGTTTGCCAAACCACGGTAATTGTTCGGGGCTCGTTTGTGGGCCCAAGCACTCCATAAACTCTGCTTACCTTTCCAGCCGGATAGTAAGTTCAGAGAAGAGGAAAGATTGGATGTGTGAGGTTAGTAACCCTGGCGCATAAAAGACAATACCAACAATGCTGAAACTTTATGGATCCCTATGTTTCACTTGCATTTGAAAGGAATGAGAAAATAAATGTTACAGTCTGTTTGATTTCGTTTTATCAGTAACTGGACTTCTTCAGTGTGGTTTTAGGCTACATTTATCAGAACTTCATTGATCTTCCCTTAAATTTCTAAAAAAAAATCAATATGGAGTTGACTTCGCTTTTCTCGGATGAATACTTGACTGACTTTACTGAACCCAAAATGATAGATCATATCTGACATACGGATTCCTAGTGTGTATGCTTTATCAACGCCTTCAGGTGTGAACATGACATAATTGGCTGGTTCATTAGTCTAGGAGATATATTGGCTTTGACCTTTGAAACCATGAGTGGCTAGTGTTAAGTATCAGTTGGAAGATTATTACTGATGACGTTACAGGTTGACGAGTCCTAGGTGGGACGAAAGTCTTACCTTTTGTATTCCACAATTAGCCAATATTATCATTATCTCGCTTGATAGTTTGATATTTGTCAACTCAGTTAACTGCTTTTTTCCTTCTTAACCTCGAAAGTATGCATGTTATTCTTCAGTACTGTTTCATAACCTTCTTATTTTGATTCTAAAAAATAAACGGAATAAAACAAAATTTCTACCTGAATTTCTTTCAGTTTGTCTATTGCAGAAAAAATTAAGAATTTTTCTAAATGTACTTTTATCTAACGTCTATACCCTACCCTACCTCCTTGGCATAGATAAGATATCTTTAAAACTATTTACACGTTCGCGACTAGACGACTAGGTTAATCAATAAACAGATTATTTTATATTTATCTTTTTTTTCTGTGTAAAAGGAACGCACCACTATTGATCCAATTTGTCAGTTCAATAATTACTGTCTAAAGATGACCTTCACCAACATATTGATTGATAGGTTGCCATTAGATGAATAATGTTGTTATATCGTTAAATGTTGATTTGCAGAGATTTGATTGATTTCAAGATTTATTAACAATTGACTACAGATAGAGAAGCATTATAAACCTAGGAATACTGGTTAGCTGTTTCGTCCTTGTTGAGGAATCTTCATTAGTACCCACCTATTACCCAATGATATATAAGAGATCGAACCCATGACCTTCAGATTAAAAGAAGAGCTTGTATATTAATGAGCCACTGGAATGATCCATTCATTCTAACTTCTCACGATTCCTGATGTATTGAGAACGGTGAAGTTCAGCAATCATGTCCCAGGAGTGCGAACGCTCTAATGACCTTGAACACATGCTACTCATTATCATAGCTGAAATATCAATGCTATTCACCAGTTAAGCAGCAAATTTCACCCAGATAACGCTTTTAAGTACTGTTTGGACAGTGTGTTAATGGCTCGTTAGGGTTAGAATTACGGTTTGGATAAGGGTTATGATTAGGGTTAAGGTTACGATTAGAGATGGATTCAGAGTTGATGTCATTTATTTTAATTTGTTTTATTATCCACATTTTCCCACTAAGTATTTTTTTTATTTATTTTTGATTTACAGCTTGATTCCACACTGTATTTTTGGTACAAGTATGGAATTTTCAGCATGGATATCGGTAGCCCAAATTTTGCAGGCCGACCATAGATATCAGGTGTGCGCCGGCGTGGGCTCGAACCCTGGACAATGTGCATGGTCGGCGAGAGTCCTAACCACTGTGCCACCGACTCACAAAAGTAGTACTATCCTCTTACTGGAAACCATAATAGTTCAACTGAGGGCTTTAGAGGGGACTGCACAAAACGATAAGAGAGAAGAACGATTCACAAAAACAGTTCATCTTCAGTCGCCTTGGCGAATGCATGTACGGAAACTAATCTAAACTAGCAACTGATACTCCTCATTATAACTAGGACGTATTTTTAAGTCATGTCAGAGAAAGATAACCTGTGTAGTGTATTTTCATGCATTTTTCTTTGTAAATATATGCCACTTTTGTGCAAAATTTCCCCAATTTTATGATTGATCGGCTGAAGGCCACCCCGTACGTTCGCATTCATTGGGACGCTGTTGTTGAACTTTGCCTTGAAAACAATAGAAAATCAAGGAGTACGGGATAGTATTGTTTTTTGGACTTGCCAGCAGAAGTTAGTTTGTGGGGAGTCTTGAAATCAATCTATGCCCAACAAGCCAACACACTTGGTAATTATCCTAATGCTCACTAGGATAAAGTTGACCAAACAACTTAGAGTGGGAAGTCGTAATCAGTGGTTTCCACGTTCCCGAGTTTCCTGTGAAGACAAATACTCACCGGTGACATTTGGCTAGTGGTTGCGAATTGTCAGAAGTTAAAATTGATGATGTATTACCTTCCAAAGACTGAATATCCAACGAGTTAGCCTTGTAACTTGAAGGTCTTGGTTTCGATCCCTAGTGGTAGTGAGATGATGGCTGCCTACCTTTGAAGAGTTCCAGACAAGGACGAAACAGTTGCCCAGTGTCCTTGTTTTTCAGTGGTTGTCTATTTGAAGTCAGTTAGTAATCAGGCTTGTCATAAGTTTATGTTACTGGCAAAGTGTTTAGGACTCTCGCCGACCATGCACATGGTCGGAGGTTCGGTCCCCTGCCAACGCACACCTGATATCTATGGTCGGCCTGCAAAATTTGGGCTACCGATATCCACGCTGAAAATTCCATACTTGTACTAAAAATACAGTGTGAAATCAAGCTGTAATCAAAAATTAAAAAAAATAATAAAATATAGATAATCAGGATAGTAAATTAGGCCAGAAAAATTAGGGATACATATCCACTTTTTATTTATTATTAATCAAAAATTGCCATGCATCGGCTGAAATCACATCGTTACGTCTATTCAAGCATTTTGGGGTTCACCTATATAAGAATGTAGGGCATCTGCGGTATGTTAATCTTTCTTTATATATAAGAACTAAAACTTTTTTGTAGAACCTTTTTGCTACCGTGAAAATCGACTTGATGTCCAGTTTCTGTTGAATGCAGTATGCAATCGTCTATTGTTGTTTTTTTCAAATTTAATGAGGTTTTGGAAACTATCTTTAGACATTGTTCATATTATTTCTGATTATACGTTGATATATATCCTGTCAACAAGTAATGCCTTTTTTCCACACTCACTGAATGTTAGAGAATAATATTCATATTGCTTTTTAAGAAGAGTACATTCAGGAAAAAAATGTACGAATAATTGAGTCGTTTCTCATTGGGGTTCCACTTGAAGGCGCAATGTGTCACTCACCGGTCTTTTCGGCGTATATTTAATCTACCTCCACTTTTTTCGCCAAGTATTGGTTTTATAGGGATATTTTTGTTTGATTGGTTGGAGGATTTCATCATGAGCTGACCATTATGTCTTAATGGTCTACGAGCTAGCTCGCCTTGTAACTAGAAGGCCCTAGGTGCATACTGTGAAGAGTCCCAAACTAGGCTGACGAAACAACTGTCTGTCCAGTACTACCAGGTGATTTTCCAATAGTTCTCCAACTGATGTCAGCTCATGTGATGAAATCCTCCTACCTCCATTTTCTCTAACATATTTGTTGAACGATAGGTTTTCAGTTGGTTTGTTGCTTG